TAATCGGAGCCAGGCTTCGGCATGCTGTCCCTGGAGGTGTGGGCCTGGGCAGAGGTGGAAGTGTACTCTGATAGCAGCTGTGCTGTTTGTGTCCAGGTGGCAGGGCCCCGGATAGCTCTGAAGCAGGCGAGGACAGGCCTGAGGCTGAGGCGGGGGAGAACAAGGAGGGATTCCTTACCAAACTTAAGAAAATGTTTAGCTCCTGATATCCCATCGGAGGTAGGAACCCTCTTGTACTTTGCTGATTGTTCGTTCCTCACGCCAAGCAGAACATGGCATCCCTGGGGAGGTAGATTGGAGAGGAAGCAAAGAAATTGCGTGGCTTACGCTTAGCCTCAGGCCTTCCAGCCAGCCCTCCCTATGAAAACCTCGTCAGTTTATCTGGAAGCTGTAGCAGAACCCAAACTAAATAGATTTGCAGCACGGAGCTCTCTAACGTATGGCTCTGCTCTGGCATGTGAAAATGGCCCAAAGCTGCTCCCTGGGTGTGTGTGGAGAAAGATCTGCTCACTGTAACGGAAACAGGCTGAGTGCTTTTCCTCCTGCTACCGGCACACGCCCTCTCTGCTGGAGCTGCACAGGGGAGAAGAGACTGTAGCTTGCCACGTGTTTTGGTGACCACTGGGCAAGCCTGTTGAAGGCAAGGGGATTGCACAGATGTCACGGTGGTGGGGGGCCCAGCTGGGCCTGGAGAACTGAATACTGGGGGGGAGCGCAAGGATGGGGCCTACTTTGAGTGTCTGCCCCAGGCTGTGTGTGCAGGGCTGGCAGTCGGCGCGAGGGGAATGTCTTTCCTTCTAAATTGAACAGATTGGCTCTAGAAATCCACGATGGGCAATAATCCAGGAACCCCGATGCCATGTTTGGGCAGCTCTGAGTAGACAGCACATGTTAAAGGCCCGGTTAGTGAATGTGATGGAGCAGGGCGCGTGCTAAGGATACTTGGCCACTAGGCCCAGAGTTTCCCTTTTCTTACTGAGCTGAGATTCCTTCTGCCAGCCCCAATGAAATGTGCTGGCAGCTAGCAGGGGAACTTCTGTTACCGAGGCATGTGCCAGCACCCACTGACACTGTGACATTCTTAGGCTTGGACAGGAGCAGTTCGTTGCGTGCTAAATATTCTCCCCATCTTTAACTCCAGGAAAACGCTCTACTGGCAACTAGACAGTGGGAAGCAGCAGTAGATCATTCCTGCAGCCGGGGGGAGTCGTTCTGTCGTCTGGCCATGGGCCTTGGAAGTGAAAGGATGTCCCTTGGCAGCACGCTCACTGCCCGCCGGCAACACCACGAACTACAAGAGGCACCAACAATCACCAGATCATGAGGAACTAGCCACCTTAGGAAATGTCACCCGGGCATCTGTACGGGGTCTAGGATTCCGCATGCTGGGAGCTCATTTGGATCCTCCTTGTGTTATAATTCAGAGCCAAATGTGGACGCTTTAATGGTAAAATGAAAATGTTTCCAGTGGCAAACGGAGTCGTTTGCTTTACGGAGCTTTCAGCGAGGTGGCTTCGCGCGCCGCTCGACAAGTCCGTCCGCTCGGTCACCCTTCCTCAGTACGAGATCTGCTTGGTGCATCCTTTCCTGGAAGGCTTGGCCTGTCTGCGGAATGACCCCACCAGCTGGGAAGAGGCCCTGGTTCTAGACTCCTGTGATAGACTTAGAGGGATCTCCCGTCTGCTGAGAGTGAATTACAGGGAAGGAGCGTAATTGCCCATAGTCCCCCACAAGGTGTGAGGGTGGGCGTGGCTTTCCTTGTCCTGTTAGCCGCTCCTACAGCCTGCGCTGGTTAGAATCAGCACTTCCCTTCCTCGCCAAGGCTAGCGCGGTGGCAAAACAAGGCAGCGTTGCCATTTAACCCAGTGCCCAGGGCGCTCTCACCAGCTCTTAGGAAATGCACCCAGGCTGCCAGTTACGTTACAGCCCAGCCCTGCTAGTCTCCAGAGAACGGGCCTTCTGGGGGGATGTTCCAAGCAAATGTACTGACCAGCCCGTAGGAATCATTGTTTCAGTCTAGCCGGCTAAGAATGCACATGGATTGGTCTGCACTCCACAGCTGGAATTAGGCACCAGTGGAGAGTGTTTCCATGGTTACTGCAACCTGCCTTTTAGTTGAATACTTACAACTGCCCGCAGCCCCCACCCCTCTGGGCACTGACCAGCTGGACAGGATTTGACACAGCACCTCCCTCCTTGCAGTTCTGAAAGAGA